GGTCGCCTGCGGTGGGAGCTGAGGGTGCTTGGCACGCACCCAGCGAGTGCCTTGCGGGCTTAGGTCTGTGAGGAGCTAAAATCCTAGAGAGAAGCTTTGTTAATTGCTTAAATCTGTGCTCAAGCTGGCACGTATGCTGTAACCGTGGGTTTGTGCCAGCCGCGCAGAGGGATCCCTGCCGCGCTGTCGGGCTGCTGGCCCTGTTGCGCCTTTGCAGCTGCGACGCATCTCTGTGTGCTGCTTCTCCAGCAGGCAGCTTGTGACCGCAGCAATCCTGTCATGGGACGGGGGGAGAGGAAAGGGGTTTGCTTTGGGGGCAGCGGGCAGTGCCGTGTCCTTGCTGTGGGGCTGCTCTGTGTGACTTGGGCTGGGTGTAGAGCTTGGTCTTCATGGCCAAACCACGGGGGAATCGGGGAGCCCCCTCCAAGGCCCTGCAACACCTGATAGTCCATGAAATACCCAGGACTAATGCTGAGGTTGTTTTATTCTATTTTTTTGCCCCTCCTAAACTATCTTGGTAGGAAGAATATTAACACAAAAGTCTGTTGGGACAGGAGAAAGCCTCCGAAATGCATTTGGGCTACATGTGCTTGGCCGGATGCTGGGAGAACTTAAATCGGCCCAAGCTCTTGGTGGCTGTGCCTGCCCCAGCAGCCAGGATCTGGCCTCGGCTGGGCATCAGCTGGCAAAGCAGGAGCCAGCGCTGGGCAGGGTTGTGTTCCCCAGCGGCTGCGGGGCTGTGTATTTTTCCTTGCTGTGCTACATGAGCTGCATCGTGACTCATACCTCGTGGGTAGGGCTGATGGATGCCACTCGCCTTTTTCCTCTGCCTCCTCCTTACTCTGGTCCCTGATGGTTCCTCCCAAGGCAGCTCTGCAGCTGGGGAGGGACTGGCCCAGGATCTGCAGCTTCTCCAGCCCGGCTTCAATTCTCTGGGCTTAGACTGTCCAGCAGCTGCTGGCCCTCATCCACCTGGCTATTTCTCGAGGTGTGTGAGCATCTGAATCGTGTTTTTGCTGGAAGGAGCTATCCATCAGACTCCTGCTCTCTGTTTAAGCGAGGCCCTGGATATGGCTGGAGCTGAGCCTTAAGCCAAGCTCAGCCTTATCCCATCCTCCCTTTCCCTATTCCGGACGGGGAGATGCTGGCGCTATGCATTTCTGCAGAGCATCGTGCCAAGCGTGACGTGCTCCGAGCAGCCCTGGTGAGAGGCGGTGTGCTCGGCCAGGTGGGACTGTGCTTGGGTTTGGTTTTGCTGCTGTGTGGGTTTAAGTAGGAGGCTCAGCCGGAGAGGTGACAGCAGCACAGCGAGGGAGGACAGAGCACGTGGAAAGAGCCAGCTACAGCCCTGCCCTCCCCATGCACAGATTTACTTCCTTTGGGTGTGGGATCGTTGTGCACTGTGTGGGAACAGGCCTCCTCCTCCTAGCTTTAATTAAGAAAAAGTAGCAAGTTTTAGGTGATTAAAAACTGATTTTTTTTTTTTATTTCTTCTTTTTTCTGATCATCCATGAATGTGCAAAGCAGGATTGTTAGTTGTAGACCTAGAAAACAATTGAATTAGCCTTCTGAGGCCAGAGTTGTGATGAAGGACTGTATTGCTACCTTGGAAAGCAGAGCAGGGAGGGATGAGCTTTGCAAACAGTACCAGGCAGTGAGGGGGGCTAGAACTGGGCTAGAACTCACAACGGAGAAAGCAGATGTTTAATTATAGCATCAGGAGTGGGCACTCGGCTGTGAGCTGGACCCTTCTGGGAAAATTTGTCTTTCTTACATCTGAAGCAAAGATGCCTCTGTCTGGGTTGATGCTGAGAGGGGCTGAACTCCTCGCCTCGGAAGTGTTTTGCTGTTGCGTGTCAGAGTCTCAGGACCCGGAGCCTGACACTTCTGCGGAGCGGATGCCCTGACCCTGGGGTGCTGGTGGGTGCCCAAAGCGTAAAGCTTGGAGAAACAAGGATGGGAAATGCACCCGCAGTAACTCACCCAAGCAATCCATCAGCGTTCATCTGCCCTCACTGCTCCCTCCCGTGGGAGAGCATCCGTGCTGGATCCATCCTCGTTCTTCAGAACCATGGGGACCCCATCAATCGCTGATCATTGGCAGAGAGGACCCTCACCTTCCCCAGGGCTCTCCATGTGCTCCTGAAATGCAGGGATGCTTTTTCTTATCATTTGCGAGTTCGAGTTTTGCTTTGCACTCAGGGAACCCAGTGACTTCTTGCAATCAGATTGGGGGCAGACAGTTTTCCTGTTGTCTCCTCTGTGGCTTTCGGGGCAGGGTCACCACCGTGCAGAGGTTCCGGTTGATCTGAAGGGAGACCTCCGTGGGGCTCACGCCTCGTGGTGGCTCTGCGCTTGAGGTGAGCTCACCTCAGAGCCTGGCTCCTTTGGCAGTCCTCCCGCTGATACTTACCTGGGCGCATGTCTCTACCCAGCAGCCAGCGTCAGGAAGTGGCTTCTGGCTCTACAAAATTCAAACCAGACAGTGCTTCCCTGGCTGAAAGCGTGACAAAATGTGCTAGAGCCCTTAGCAAAGCAAGCAAATGTTCCTACTGTATTTTAGTCAGGCCTCCTGCCAGCAGACTGGTGCTGATAGCAACTCCTAATTGCCAGCAACCCGTAATCATCAGATAGTTCCCTTAGGAGAAGAGGAAGAGGCAGGCTGAGTTTTGATCAGCGAAGTGCATGGTTTGCAGCCGGAGCAGCTGGCACCCCCCGACAGCAGCTCCCTGGCTCATCTCACTTCTTTCTTTTTAATATACGTTATTTCTCCAGTGACGAGAGGGAGCCCGGTGGGGTACGAAAGCAACAAGAGTTTGGAGTGCTTTGCTCGTTGAAGAAAGGGAACATGCTGTGCCGGGAGGCTGTGTGGGTTCCTGAGCCAATTTCCTCGCTCTCGGCTGGTAAAGACCCATCTCTCGAGCCCCCCGGGGAGCGAACGGCAGCCCCGTGCTGGGGCAGGGTGTGCTGTACGGCTTGTAGGGAACAAGTCCTGCTCGAGCCTGGTGGGACCGGCCCAGCGGTCACGGTGCTGCGGTACAGCGGTGATGAGCAGCACCGTGTTTACCCCTGGCATCCCTGTGTGCTGGCAAGGTGCTGTCTGTGGAGCGGACGTGCGGTTATTGAGAGAGTAGGTGACTTTTCCAAGATCACCCACATTTGCTTAGGAGGAACTAAATCTGAGTTTCCTAAATTAGTGCCCTGCCTGCTGGACCATCCTGCCTCGCCTCATCTCACACAGCTACACAGGCATCTCACTATGCCCAGCCTTGAACTTGCTGAGGCCGATAGTGGGGGTTCGGTTAAAAGGTCTAAAAAAAAAGTCTTCATATGCCATTGCTTTGTGTCTGGTTTTGCTATTTTAAAATATTTTATGTAAGTATTAATACAAATATTTGCGTGAAATTTTACCAGGCTTCTCCGTTTTAGTATTAATTTGACACTGGCTTTAAAAACAGTTGAAAATCCATTTTTACTGTCAAGCCCAGAGTGCGTCCTGTCACTACAGGCTTAAATCCTCACTGAACTTGGCAAGACTTAGGACCAAAGTCACTGTGGTGCCTGTGAAGACAATACCCTTCATTATGCGTGAGTGTCATCAAGTCACGCTCATTAAATCCTCTAATCCTAGTTAAAAAGCTGCAGCCTAGCCTGAAATGAATGTGCAGAGAGACCAAATTGGTCCTGTTGGACCAGTTTTGTTTTAATATCTCTGGAAGCAGAAGACAAAAAGATGAGCATCTTCCACAAAGCCAATGCTCTCACGGCATCCAGATAATCTAAAACGAGGAGATGAGGAGTGTGCCCAACCCCACCCGTCTGAGCGGAGGGTCCCGAGTGCAAGCAGGAGGCTCTTGCACTTTTAGGATGGTGCGAGCACGAAGTCAAATATAAGAGGAGGAAAATACCTTTGAAAATCTTCATCTTTTACCAAAAAAAAAAAAAAAAAAAAAGATAATTGGGAACCAGAAATAAAAGAAGTCTAGCCCTGAGGGTGAGACTCATCTTCTGTAGCATGATCTGTTAAAAACTTAGGCAGTGAGTCTATAAACGAGTCATCAGCATCCCTCAGGGATCAAGGGCAGGAGATGCTGCCAGACAGGAGGGTGCGTTGCTCCGGATGGTGCGTCTCTGCCCCCGCCCCGGCGGGACTGGGATTTGCTGCTCGCAGATGGGGCTAAGACCCCGGGTGGGTGGGTGCAGCCGTCCACAGGAATGGCTGGGGAGTCCCTTGGAGACCTCCTTCCTACGAGCTGGGCTCTATTTCTATATTTGCAGACTGCTTTCCCACACGTAGATTCTGGTCCCCACTGTAATCGGTCCTTGGCCAGCTTTTCAAAGCCTTGGCTCGGGTGGTGGCTGTGCTTTCTCAAAGGACGGGCTGTTCTCATCTCCCCTGAGTTTGAGCTTCTTGTGCAGCTCCGGAGCAAAGCGGTGTGCTTTTCCTGTTGCTCTTCTGAAGTCTTGTCTGGTTATTATCTGCAGACCAGAAACAGAACCTTTGCTGTTTAGTCTTCATCCAAAATATTGCTTATTTTCTTGGTGCATGGTGCAATATCTAGAAGTCTGTGCACCGCTGGGGTATTTGTGCAATAGAAGCACAGATTTTATTTCCTCCCCCTTCTTTCTTTCTTATTGCCCCATCAAATAACCCACTGAGCCAGAGAAGAAGATTTATGGGTAGCAAAGATTTTTTTTTTATTTTTTTTTTTTAGCTCAGCTCTCATGGAGTCATTATGTCCTGTCCCTTGTCTGCTAACCCTGTCTGTGTCTGTGTCCTCTGTAAGAGGGAGTGATACTGTGAGTCAGTGAGAAAGCTGACATGGTTTGGAGGTGGCATCTCTGATGGAAAGGGGAGGTTTGGAGGTGACTCTGGTCATTGCATCCGTTCCTGTGACACTCCGCTGCACACCCCTCTGGATGCTGCCCAGAGCTGCGGCGTCCTGGGGCTCCCTCCTGTCCACTCCCATAATACGTCCCGTCCCTGCCGTGCTTTGCAGATCGAAGCGCTGATGATGGAGATGCAGAATCCAGATACCGGCATCAAGACGCAGACGCAGAGGGTGATGATCACAAACATCCCACACGCTGTGGCAGGTAAGAGCTTTGCCGGGGCAAGGGATCAGGCCAAGGAAGTTCATCACAGAAAAGCTGTGTGTGGACCCCATGGCCAGCCCAGGGTCACCACTGCTTGGGTGCATTCTGGAGCCCGTGTTCCCCAAAATATTTGCCGTACGTCCTTTGAGACATCCGCCCTCCCTTTATCTCATTATCACTCGTGTCTCGTTTCAGTCCTAGCTCTTTGAAGCAGAGACACAAAGATTGATAGTCGTGCGCTTTTAGCTGTCTCATGTGAGTTTAACTGGAGTGACCTTGCTTTCTCTTAGCATACAGGCGGATAGGTGCCTCAGCCTCCAGACCTGTCATGTTCCTGGTGGGGCTGGATCACAAATAAGGATAAATATTAAAATCCGATTAAAATCAGCAGACTGGAGTCAGACTGAAATTGAGAAATGAGCAACAAACAATTAGTCTCCCTTTTAACGTTTTTGTGCTAATAATAATTTTTCTTCAGTACGCAGGAAAAGAACAAAATATTCAACCCACTTCTCTGCCTCTAAATGACAGCTTTTCCTCCTTCAAGCAGGCTGAAGAAGAAACAGGGAGCTGTGCTGTGCCGTGTAACGTATGGCGTTACCGGCAGCTCTTAATCACAGTCTCCTTTGTGCCTGCTAGCTCCTTTCACAGGGCACTATCAGGACCTCTGCTTCCCTGTTCTCCAAGCCTCCACAAAAGCTCTTGCAAGGCATCCTCCACTCTAAATATTCACACATACTGTACAAAAGTTTCCTCCTCCTGCTTTGGTCTTTCTGCAGCACTTTGAAATCCAGAACAAAAACTCCCACTGAAACCAGTGAGCTTGCTCCAGGCAACTCAGGAGACAACTTAGCCAAATAGATTAATTTTTCCCCACTGTTTTTGCAAAACCCGGCAGGCCCTGTGTGTTGTTTGCCCCAATTTTTTTTTTAAAAATGAGGAAGCAGAGGCACCGAGATTAAGTCACTTGCCCATGGGTGCAGTCAGTCAGTGAAAGGGTGAGGAGAACTTGGACGGCATCTGAAGCTTCTCAGCAGCACCCTCCATGCATTACAGTACGAACCATAGCCTGGCCTGCATAGCTGTTATGCAGCTGAATTTGGTGGAGTGCTTTGCATCTGCAAAGGATCTGGCCTTGCCTCCCCTAGCTGTTAGTGAATACTTAAGGCAGCATGGCAGAAAAGTTCCCCCTGTAGTGAAGATGACATGCCAACCAGATTAAGTTCAGAGGGAACAAGTACTTCTCTTGATGTCTGACCGATGTAAAATACCACTTCCTAAAAGTCCATGGGTAGATGATGAGGAGGGAAGGTGCCCGTTGGTGCTCATCCTCTTTGCGTGCTGTCTGCTTTATTCTGGTTCCTTAATCAGAATTGCTACAAGTTCCCTCTTGCATAAGTCAGAAATTCTAGTCAGCTCCTCATAGGCAAGGGTGTTACAGTCTCCTTGCATGGCAGTCATCGCTCTCTAAACTATGATATTTTTAGTGCTGCGCAAGTTGCGTATATACTGATTGGCTTCTGGGTGTTGCAGAAGAGACCGATTCGTGTTTAATGAGGGAATGGTGAAGACATTAGAGCAGTGGACACAGATCCACTGAAGGAGCTTGGCTCTTCACGTGCAGGAAGCTAACTAGTTAAATTCAGTGTCAGTAAAATGGCTCACAACAGAAAAGGCAAATAAACCTCCATGTTAAATGCACACCTTTGGGGGAAAGTGCTTACAGAGAGAGCTGTCTAGAAATGCGTGATGAGATAATCCTTTAATTTCATCTATTTCAGGAAGCAGGCGGTAGGATAAGAGCTCTGAGCCCCTATTAGAAAGTTAAGTCATCACTGCAATGTCAAGAAAGGTCAACACCTCAATCTGCAATCCTAGGGGACGTTTGGAGGAAAAGACCAATAATTGATCAGGGAATGAGTGCATTTTTGCCCTATTTAAATGGAAGGAGGTTCATGATGTTTGCCCCCCAGAACATAAAACTAAAACTGCCGGAGGTTTATGCTGACTGTGGGTATGAGTGGCCACACCCCACCAAAAGAACGGGGAGAGATGAAGTGTTTGTGAATGCAGAAGTCTTTGTTTCCCTTTGATACATCCTGTGGCCACTACAACTTGGATCTGAGACTCAGACATCCCTTCTGCACTGAAAGTCACGTCTCTTAGAGGACTGGAGAGGACCCGTCACTGGTCTTTTACTAAAACTGAGACAGGACCATGCTCTGAATCTGGAGATACTTTTCAGTGAATCTTTCAAGACAAGACAGTGCAAAACAAGGGGCACTTCACCTTCGCTGGGTGTGGAAGCTGTGGCATTAAGTCCTTTCTAAGCTAATGATGGGCGTTTAAGTGTTGCTCAGGCCACGTGTGCTTCTGCACACTCATGCTGTGCCATCCTAGGGTCACTGCCTGCCTCGGGCTCCCTCTCACAGGGACTGGTGTCTGCTTGGTCAGGAGAAAGCCTGAATGACAGCATGGCCAGTGAGAGACCAGAGATGCATTTTATCTCTGCTTCTCTTGCGTGGTGCGTTGGAAAACATGGGTGCCAGAGGGGGTCTGTGCACTTGGTGGGATCCAGGGCATGGTGAGGGGTGAGGACTGGAGAGGTCTCGTTTGGCCCACGCATTTTGGCACGCTCCTGTTTTCAAGCACCTTTTCTTTGCTTTACAGGTAATGATATATTGCAGTGGATTCTCCAACGCTTGCAGATCACTGAGGAAGGTGGGTAGAAATGTAAAAATGAAGGCTTTTCAGCTTTGATATAGACGAAACCTCTTAGATGAATTCTTCTCTCCTGAGTAGCAGCTCGCTTTTAAATTCCAGTGCAGTGTTTCTGTGCAATCAAAACATCTGCCTTCTCCATTTGCAGAGGCACTCCACCTGGGGGACCTGTTTGTCAAATACGGATACATCTACCCTCTCCAGGAGCCAAAGAATCTCACCCTTAAGACAGACGGCAGCCTGTACAGGTTTCAAGTGAGTTGCACCTTGTCTAAAGACATTGAGAGGGAGTTCAGCACTAGTTTTCAAAACAGGCAGCTGGGGCAATTCCCTAGGAGCTGTAGTCATGAGGCCATGCTGTGTAGCCATGCTAATTGTTGAGTGTGCAGGAGGAAGGGATCCACAGAGAAGCCTCAGGCCAGTTCCCCCAGTTCTGTGTGTCAGATTACAGGCAAACTGTGATACTTCCTTCAACGAAATTAACATACTTGTTCAACTTCAAAATAGCTGTGTGTGTTCCCTTCCAGGTCTTAAAAGTAGCAAATGGAATCACTGTTTGAAAATAGAATGATCTGGGGAGACTGAATAATGAATATACAAAAAGTGCAGTAATAATGGGATGTTATCAAGGTTCACGGCTGGACTGTTTCCACTACAATGGGAAATTAGGGTACCTTTGTTCGTACTTTGAATGAGGAGTCTGGTTCCCACATGGTGGCAAATCAGGCTCCAGCATCCCAGTCTGAATGCTCAGGTGGCAGCGAGAGGTTGGCCATATTAACCGGCTGCAGAGCAGGTGTGGATTTGACACTGGCAGTCTGCTGACCTCGATTCTTCTGCTGTATCTGGCCTGCACCGCCATGCGAGCTGGCGTGCAGCTGAGGCACTGAGGCTCCGAGTATAGCAGAGGAGAACTTTCCTCTCCCTCCAGTGTGCTGCGCACCTCTTGGCATGAGTTCAAGGCTACTGTGCGCTAACGAAAGGCTTGTTTTTCTGCAGACCCCTTATTTCTGGCCCGCGCAGAGCTGGCCTGCTGATGACACAGACTATGGTAAGTGATAGAGTTGTACATGTTTAGGAGGTGTAGTGCAAGCCTGTGTGTTTGTGCACGCAGTCCTGCACTGTGTTTGCTGTTCATCTGTTTGTGCTGTGTGTCCACATGTGGTGACCAGCCCTTGCATTTTCTTTCATACTGTTTTGTGAATAATTTTCAGTAATGCTGAATTGAGGGAACACTTTGGGTGTGACTGCTTTGATGAGAGAAAGTGCTAAAGCTTCTCTTATGTTCCACTAAGATCCATTAGACTGGAACACATCTGAAATGCTCTGCTGGGTAGGGAAGTCTTTAAGCACAAGGTTAGATTTCCCTGAGTAGTTAAGTGTATTCCTGGATCTGAGCCCAAGACTGTCTTTGTGTAGATTTGGATCAAGCCCTGCATTCAGAGATAGTTCTTTCTTTATATAATGCACAGTGGCTCCCAGTATCTCCTGATGGGTCTTTCCGTATCAATCTTTTGTTGCCTTTATAATGCTTTTTATTATAGGGCTGGCCATGAAACTTGGGCTGATCAACTTGGTTTGCTCCTGTGGGCTGTGCAGTTCACAGACTGATTTGTTTATACCAGGATTGTCCTCTGTGGCTTTTATCTACATTATGCTGTAGATCTTCTGGGGAAATAAAAAAGCCCATTTTAGATTGGAATGTTTTTAATAGAACTTGGAACAAAACATTGGCCTGTATTTGGAAAACTTGGAGGTCAGACTCTGAAGAACCTCAACACCTTAAAGATTTGGTCCAGTACCCTTTGACCGGTGAAACCCTGGCTGAGTTCCCAAAGGAGGAGCGGCTGCTGGCAGAGGGCATGTGCTGCGTGGCTGCTCCCAGCCTGGGCACTGGTTTGTGAAGCATCAGCGACAAAGTGGATGCACCAAGTGCATTCTTCTTCGGTGAGCTTTTGTGAACTTGGAGCTCGTGCCTGGGAAGATATTGTAGCAGACAAAGTTTCCCGTGTTTGTCATGTGGGTAAATTTTTAATTCTTCTTGGATTTGTTGGTCTAAGTATAACTGACTGCTTATTTCTTTCTCCCTCCGCAGCAATTTACCTAGCAAAGAAGAACATTAAGAGGAAAGGGATTTTAGAAGAATATGAAAAGGTAAGGCAATATTGTACTTGTTCCACTGCAGGCCCCTTGTTTGCTATAGCTTTAGCCCTCTGTTGTTAATGAATGGAGCGTGGCAAAAAATCACCTCTTCAATTGCATGAGGTGTTACTCCAGCAGTGTTAAAAGCCAAAATTTTGGAAGTGAAAAAGTGGCCAGTATGGGGAAATACTCTGAAGTCAATGATAATTTTAGCAGGGATAATTGCTCTCCTTGCAGTGGTATTTTTGAACTGTTGCCATTCATGTAATTATGTTCAGAACAATCCAGATTTCTTGGCTTGTTTGCCAGTCTGCCCTAGTTGAGCTATGGAGAGTCAAGAAAACCCTAGTATGGGAGCGCCTTGTCCAGAATTTTCACACTAACTGCTTTTTTATTTTTATTCCAGGAACATTACAACATGCTCAATCAAAAAATAAACTACAAGTGGGATTTTGTTATTATGCAGGCCAAAGAGCAGTATAAGTGAGTTGACTCGCGTTCCCTTATTTGCATCATCGGGGAGGGTGTGAGGAGGCAGAGCTTCACCGTCTTGGTACACAGTTCAATTACAGTTTAAAAACATAAACTGCAGCTTTGAAATAACTTGGAAGTGCCCCTCAAGATTGTGAAACAAACCTGCCTTTCGTATCAGCTTGGAGTTCCTCCATTTAACAAGTAAACTTTGTTCACTTTGCACTTCATGAGTGAAGGATTTCAGACGTTTTTAAATGAGTGGACGCCCGCTTGCAAAGCCTCACCCTCGCCCACTGCACCTGCGTTTCTCTCCCTGCCTGGCATTTGTCCCCAAAGACGTGGAATTGGTGTGGTTTGTGAGAGCGCAGGCGGGGGTGGGTGCCTTTCCTGCCGACACATACGCATGCCTCTTTGCAAACAGTTTTTGCACATGCGTAAGTGTGCAAGGGGAGGTTTAGATTTTGCACCTGATGTGACTCCCTGAAGAAGCCGAGGTCTGATGCTGCAGTGTGTAAGCCCTCATCAGAGACAACTTCTTGGAGCTCAGGGTTGTCCGTGAGCATTTGTGGATCAGGCCACTGCACTTAGGACCTGTTATTGGCCTGGTTCAAGTCCTGCTTGCACAAGTCTCGCAGCTGAACTGAATGGCCTGAATCAAGAAGCAGTAAATGTTCCCAGCGGGGACTTCTGGAGAAAACTCGGAAGTGCATACTTAGGCAGCCAGCGAAAATGACTTGACTTTAGGAGCTGAATCCTTCAGATTCCCAGGAAAGTTAGTGAACGTGAGATGGGATTACTCCTTTGGAGATAGGATCTTTCCTGCTTCTGTGGATTGCTTTTACTTTTCTTTACCTCCCAGCATGGCAGGCACTGCCTCTTCTGTTCAGCAGCGGTTCTGTCTTCACCAGGATGGTAGCCAAGTTGTCAGAACACAGCTCATCAGATAACTGTCTCATTAAACACAAGACTGTTGTTCTTGTAAATTGAGGTCAGACTTGGGCTAAGAGATGCCAAATGCAGTTTTAAAGTTAGATACCGAGACTCTGTCTGAACTAGTGGATTAAACATGTCTGAGGCTGTTTGGTGATGATGCTGGGGCAGACTGGTGCAGAACAGCCCGCATCCACCCTGTTAACCACAGCAGGGTGGCCACATGCAAACAGCCTTTTGGGAATGCTCCCCTGCCCATGCTAAGTCCCAAACTGTGCCCAGGGCTTGTCTGGGAAAGAATTAGTTGGTCCAAGCCCAAACCATGCTGGTGCTTCTTCTATTTAATAGTAGAGGTGATTTGGGTTTTAGTGCCTGGGAACACTGCTTGGCCCCATTTCCAAATCATTTCTGTGAGAAATGCCCCCCTTTACTGTGAGATGGGGACGAGATGTGTCCAGGATGTATCTCTGCACGGCAGCCCTCAGATACTGCCCAGGGACATTGGAGATGGATAAACATGGGGCAGCGGGACTGACCGCAAGTAGCGGGTTGTAAAGCTCTACCAAAGGGCTGTCTGTCTAATCAAAAGAGGATGTGCCTGCTCCCAGCTGAGCTCAGGGAGACAGTGATTTCTCAAAAGCTACAGTCATGTGTGGCCATGTGAACAGCATGATCTACAGTCCAGAATTAGCCAGGGTAAGATGTGGTCAGGAGGCTGCACCAGAGCATCGCACAGTCAGGCTGGGACCCACGGGGCAGGGGAGACTGGAGGTGTACCCCCTTTGTCATCCTGCTGGTTTTAGGAGAGCAAGATTCATGATTTCCCCTGGTAGAGTTAAATCCTGTTCTTGGCTTTGCAGGGCAGGGAAGGAGCGGAAGAAGGCAGACAGATACGCTCTGGACTGCCAGGAGAGAGCCTACTGGCTTGTGAACCGAACTCCTGTAAGTAGGGAATGCCGGCGTGTGGCTTTAGTGCCTCGGTGGTGCCCTCCCGGCAGCCACCTGCGACAAACACCCGCACGTCAGGGCACGGCCATGGGCACGGCCTCGGGGCTGTGCACCCTGTCACTTCTCCTCGGGGAAGGGGTGGCCCAGGCCTGCCCTGAGCCCAGACTTTTCTCCTTGGTTGCTCTCAAAGGTGCAAGGGAGGGAGGTCTGGCTGTAGCACACATGCCCGGAGGGGAGCGTTGCGAGATTTGGGGGGCAGACCTCCCCTGGGGCACTGCTGGCTGGGAGCTGCTGGCAGCGGAGCCCTTCGGGGCTCGGGGGTCTCCTCGTGCATTTGTGTGAACCACAAACTTTAAAACAAATGAGTTACAAAGCTATTGCTGTTTCTTGTTCATAACAGCCCGGCATGCTAGACGTCCTAGAGTACGGATTAGACCGCGTAACGGATCCCAATGAAAATAAGGTAAACCAGGTGAGACAGGTTTTCTTTTCATGCCTACTGAATTTGTTTGGGAGGATCCAGACAATGTCCCTGGGACTGTGGTTTTTTGGGCACCGCAGGCTGAGCGAGTCAGCTCAGCTGTGACCGCCAAATGGGCCAGAAGTTGAAGCCGTCTCATTGTCCAGGGGGTGGGGCCCTCAAAATAGGCTTTGGCAGCATCTTTTGGCTTGAAAATACTTTGTCAGCTTTCTTGCTGCGCCAGTTAGTGCGAGTGTTTAGCTATGGGACATGTTTTCTCTGCTGGTGAAGCTGAGTTAAGGAATCTTCTACCTCCAGATGCTTGTTTCTGCCTTTTTATTAGTGGTGAACGGACTGTGGGGGGTTTTGGGGTATAGAGGATCAGAGGAAAGATCCAGGTTTAAGATAAAATGACAGAATGCCTCCAAAAGGCTAATGTGTGGCCAGAAGATGAAGAAGTTGGTGTGGTGGATAGGAGACCCAAAATACTGCCTAAAAATGCATATTGTATAGCTAGACCATAAAGAAACAGAATTCATGAACTGCGACTGGGGTGGCTGTACCTCGGTGGGGCTGGTTCGGAGTCTGCTGTAAGACAAATGCAGTCAGTGGGTGAGGAGCTGGAGCCGTTCTTCTCTTTCTCTGTCAGCGCTTTTAAGCGATTCTGCATTTGTGCACTTAATGGTGTTCATTTGGAAGTGAAGTCCAAGTGTCTTTCAGCAATTAAATGCAAAATGTTACTGCGATCACATTCACTGTATTCCCACAACTTCTCATTTTTGTAACAGCCTTTAAACATTTCAACAGCCAGAGGCAGGATAATTGCTTTGGCCAACTGTGTTCTGTTGCTATAGAGACTGAAAATGAGCAAAATGTAGGGTTGGGGTGTATTTTATTTTTTCTTGCTGTTAAGTAGCAGCTGTTGAAAACCTTTTTTCCTTC